AAATTTTTTGTATTTAATTTTAAATTCTCAATTATTTAAAAGTATTAATAAGTGAATTTGTTTGAGTTTTTTTAAACAAGAAACATAAAGACTATGAATACTCAGACGGTTTTTATGACACGAAGTACTTTTTTACTCTTCAATTTATAAAAGTGTAAAAGTATATCACTGAGAAATGTAATTTTTTTTTTTTAACAAAACCGCAAGGTCATATAAATAAAACTTAATATCTTTGCTACTTCTTTGTTTTAAATTTTTAAAAACTTCTATTTAATATTTCACTTTCATAAAATGTACTTTATTACTTGAGAAATAAACTTGAATTGACAGATTAAATATTCACAACAATAAAAAAAATATCAAATAGTGTAAAAAGTGCGGTGTTTATTCTCATTCTTCTTTGTTATTTACTTCAATATTTACCTAAATATTCACTTAAAAAAATTCTTCAAAATGTTTTTCTCAATTTAAAATAAAATTAATGTTGATAAACATGTTTATTAAAATTTTATTGAGAATATTAAATAATCTACATTCATAAAATACAATTTAATGAACGTCACTGGTTTCCATATTCAATGTTATTTGCATTATTTGTAATGCATGAGTACAATGGATTGATTAATCATCGTTGAAAAATTCGTTTACGTTATTCGCATTATAGGTATTTAAAGTAGCATAAGCCGTACCATAATTTTAACATCTATTAATAATAGTAACGTTATATAAAACCACATAACTTATTTATCTCATAGTAGAATAAATTAATGGCTCAAAGCTGATACAATATTGCAATAATGGAACTTGTCGATAGAAATTTTAAGATAGGAGTTTCCCGTTTCACATCATTATTATCATCAATATAATTATTTTGTGACAATGAATGTTAATCGATATCAATCATAATATAGGGGTGATAATAAAATTAAATGATTGAAAAATAAATTTATTTGACATTGAATTCAGTAAAATACTTCAAATATAAGTTGGAAAATAATTTATATAATCAATAAGAATGATGTTTAATAAAGTGGAAAATTATTTCTTTTTTTAGAATAAATTTTATTTAATACTTTATAATAATATATTATTTAACAACTAATTGACTATTTAATATATAATTTAAAAAAAAAATTCAACTTATTAGTTCTCTTTTAAAAAACTTCTATTAAATAGCTTTTCATTGCTGCTTAAAATTCTGACGTCTATAAAGACAAATAGTAATTTAATATTCTTTTATGAACAAAATTAATCACTCATTAATAAAGATATTTATAAATAGATCTTTTAGTCAATATTTAGCCGAGAAAAGAGTCTTTTCACAATAAATAACTGATTGCGTCACAAAAAAAAAACAATAAACTTTTGTTTAAATGAGAAAAAAAAATACTAACCTCGGTTAAGAATTAATTGAACGAGCACAATTTTCAATTGCTTCAATAACTATGAAAACTAAGATGCTTGAAGAATAAAAGAAGTAACACTACTATTATTAAAGACAACTGGAAAGATGTCTCTCGACTCGAAAGCCTTGTGAAGGCAACAGGAGAGAACACACAGGAAGAGAAGTGCTACTGGCAGACGGTAGGGTGGATTCTCTCTCTTTTGATTGGGGCCAACAGGGGATGACCTACTTTTAGCCGAGGCGAAATTTCCCCGCTTGCGCCTGACCTTTTCCCAGCTTCTGGACTTGTGATACAGGCATGGCTCTCTCCCGGTTTGTGTCGGGTTGTCTAGGGAGGGGCGACAGGTGAATATGTATAGAAAGCAAGGTAACTAGGTCACCCCTGGAGTAGAAGGAAACAGGGGATGAGCAAATTTGAGAGAAGGACGTGAGAGCCTAGAGAGAATCCTGGATATAGATTGGTACTACCTGCGAGAAACTCATACCTAGAGACTCTTATGAGAGCCTTTTTGTTTCACTAACTCCCTCCGGACATTTTAAATGTTATGATACTTGAACAAAATTTTTCTCTCCAAGTATAAGCAACTAGCTTATGCTGAAGTTAAGCTACAGTAACTTATTGGATGTTGGAAAAAATGTGCAAGTTCAAATGAGAAAAATGTAATTGAATCTCTCTTGCAACATACTTTTTTATTATGTCCAATAATCGAGTTAGATATAAAGGAATTATGAAGATTAGCTTCAATTTGTATAAAGCAAAAGACTAGGAAATCACTTTTCCTCTTTTCCAAGGTCTTGACCTGCTTGATTCGAGATTCTCGCTCATGTAGTTGCAAGGACGCCACTCCTCTTCCGTCGACTTTGCGCGTTAATTATCTTTACAACTTGTAGAAGAGTACTTAAGCTTCATGCGATAGGATTCATTCTAGTTTAAGTATTCAATATCCAGTATTGTTAGAAAAGTATCACATCCAAGGATTTTACCTTAAAACCTATTTATTTTTAATTTATATTTAAAAATTAAACGCCCACGTTGGATAAACAATATCTATTATTTATAAATAAACTGTGAAATGATGATAAAATAAAAATGAATAGATAATAATGAAGTAAAATAATTGAAAGAAGCAAGAGATGAAGAAGAATAGTAACAATGAACGATTGTTTTCCTTGCATCTGTAAAACGATAATCTAATTAAATTTATTTTTCAACTGAAGTAGTTCTACTTCGTGCCCATGGTTACAAATAAAGGCGTAGTTGTATCTGTAATTTCTACACAGAACATTGTAGAAGAATATACAGATAATAAGTGAAAGAAAAATAAAAAGAGTTCACAATCTACCCAACCAACATGTAGCATCTCAAGTCTACTGAAACAAACCATCTGCTGGTAAAAATCATCCAACTAATTTAATATTCAACTGATTTTTATTTTATTTACATTTCTCTCATAACTAGAACTACATTCCCCTCACTCAACTCAGATTTTCAAACAATACCAGAGAAGAAAAATTGGATAAAAATAATTAATGATCAAAGTAAAACTTTTAGACATAATGAAAATGTCTGACCAAAGATAGCCTTCACTACTTTGAGTCCCATTGCAAGTTGAAGAATGGCACAAATTGAATTTCAGCGAGAAAAAAAAAATAAACTTAAAATGAAGTTTAAAGTGATAAATTAAACAAGTGTTTCAATCTACTTAAAAATAAAACAGGTAAAATTGAACAAATTGGATTTCATGCTGTGAAGCCTTGAAGAAGATTTGGATCAGCTATGTCCAGACAGTTGATTTGAAATTGCCATCAAAAATCTTTATATAGATTCTCTCGCCGTTGTCTTGAAATATTTCTTAAGGTAGGTGATAAATACAAGACAGTACAATTGATTGAATTGTGAATGGCAATGAAATGAATATAAATGAAATATCCAATCGACTTAAATAAGAGTCGATATAATAAATGTCTGAGTATGGTCTGTAGTAATGATAGTAATCAGATATTTAGTTCAATAAATATGGTATGTTAAATAACTGAAGTATATTTTCTCCTTTAATAAATTCCACAATCAGATCTAAGTCTGTCGAATTCAAATATAATCTTGGAAGTCTATAATTTAGCATAATTTGAATGCAAGATAAAACGTTACCCAATTGGCTGTTACATTCAAAAGTAGACGTTTGTAACGTTGCCATTGGTATCATTGGGTGTGATGGCGGAGCGTTCAAGGGGTTGCCATGGATTAGCCACATTCATCCTGAGCATTCTAGTGTCCTCGATCAATAATTCATTTCCGTGCTGTCACGCCCCCATAAATCCTTGGCGACCAGTAAACCTGATGGCTTGGGCTTTCCTGGATTATTTCAAACATCCGCCCACTCTCGAATCTCACCTTACTCTTCCTCTTGTTTTACATCCATTAGCGACCTTTTCAAACTCTAAAACCTCTGGATCAACCCCAATGACATCGCTCAAGCTTTTATATCCAGTCTCGATAGCCAAGCAAACTCGTAGAGTGATGAAGATGGAATTCCATAGCTTTACATTGATATAATGCATCAATTTATTATTTATGACATTACTTTGATGGTTTTGATTGATTAATTATACTGCCGATATAAACGAGAACGTCGTCGACGCCCTCAGAAAACTGAGATACCACCAGCTGTGTTCACTCGCTTCTTTATCTACGGAGTGAACTCAGAGTGGCTCCCTGTTCTCCAAGCGCATTTGTTCTCATTATCATTTATTCATTAATATCATTTATTCAAACTGTTATTTAATTATTCACTTGTATTTTTCTTCATTAAACATGAAGATTTTATAATTAATCGGCTTCCAACTCAAAACCATCTCCATTATTTGTATCTTTTTACTGTCAATTAAATATTCAATTCTTCAATCAAATCTTTTAATCACTTTTATTTGAATAATTAATGTTAGCCTCATGTAGTAAATTAATTATTTAATTTATCAAATAAATTTGATTTTAAATAAAATATGTGCTGCCATCTCTCACTGTTTAACATCTGTATGCACTGATAATTATTTACGTATGTAAAGTGGACACGTTATAAAAGAATTATTTTAACAAAACCGTAAGTCGGTAAGAACGAATTTTATTATATATTTTTATCTCTCACTTCACCGCCCTCAATAAATCAACTAATTTAATTTACGATAACACATGAAAAACCTTCATAAATTTCTAATAATTATTTTTTTTTCATTTAAATAAAAGCAACTATCTACTTAAATAGATCTTGAAAGTCAATCAATTATTACAAACAGCTACAGTTACTATCAACAAGAATCTCAAATAAATATTGATTCAATTCATCCGTGACCTATATCCGTCTTTATTCTAAAGACCTTATCTAAAACTCTTCCTTCCAATAGTATACCTCAACACAAAGAATGTTTAACTATACTCATTCAACTATGAAAAATTGATTTTCCGATGAAATTTATCAAACTTTGCCTGCAGGGCGTCTAAGCGTAAAGATTGTCAAACGAAATATATAGGAACAATAAGATGAGGGTATTTAAGGGTATTAAATAGATAAATAAAAAAATAATTAAAATATCAACTTACAATCTACTGCTTGGTTCATTGTTTGCTTCATCTCCTTCGATACGATAGACCTTGCCGTACATTACGTATTCAAAGCTGTCCGCTCTCGATCCACCTTCTTGTTCAATTGCATTCCAATCACCTCCATCAGGGTAACCATCTTCTCTTAAGGTGGTCGCAAGTACCAGCCGGAATTTATCGCCTGCAATTTATTATGGTTTATTCATTAAAAAATTCCACCAATAGTTGTTTCATTATTTTAGATTGATATTATTACAAGAATTTAATTCAGTTTAACTTGGAGAATTCTAATAAAATATCTTTACAATTAATTCAAATTATTTTTCATAAATAACATTTTGGATATAAAGTTTGCCAATAAATATTGTATTTTTAAATGATGAAATATTGAGAATAATGGATTTAATTGATACAAAGAGACTGGTAGGAATTTAATTTATCAGAAAAAATCTAAAGCTATTTTTAGTTAATGGTAATTTTACAATACCTCTTAGAGGAAATCTATAATGACATTTAAAAGGAGTTAAATTAGCTAGAATTCCAATTGATTAATCTAATAAAAGCGAATTGCGGAAATCATAAGGCTGAGTATGAATAAATATTTATCAAAGTCTTGGAATTATTCGTAAAAGCATGAAATAATTGAACAGGTTTGAGACATTTATTTCATTTTTTGACGTCAAAAAATATGAATCCAATGCCAGAGATGTTGTCAGACCGGGGATATTATTGAAGTCTTGAATTCTGAAGGCGACCCGAATGCGAAAAAAGTATAAGAAAAAAAATAAGTGATGGATTGTAGAGAAAGGAATTAGAGGATGTCGATGTGCTTTTCCGGACTCGTGGTTGTCTCTTGGAACGTGTCCAAATTTAGGTTGCTGAGGGAAAAAGCACACAGATATATAAAATACAAAAAGTAAAAAGGGAATGGGTTACACTGATAATAGAGACTTTTGGTTGTTGCATTATACATTGTAAGATATACGAAGAAAGTAGTCTGACATGAGCTGTAGTTTTTATACCAAAAGTGACAATGAATGATGTTGCGCGTTTTCTTACATTTTAAAATGTTTTGTCCGTAAAATATAACTCTTTATTTAGAAAACACATTTGTTAAGTGAAGGTAAATAAGCCATTTTATTTGAACATCAACTCAACTTCGTTTAATGTTTCAACCTAAGTAATAACGAACAAAATATTGTTTAAATAAGAAACAAAAACTAAATTTTTTATTCTTTTTTAAATTAATTGAGTTTATTAACTCACAGATAAATATATTTTCCTTCTTTTTAAAATACCGAATTATTTTATACTTCCATCAAATATTTATTTACGTGAAGGTTTTTTTGCAAAAATAATTTTATTAATTACTAGAAAAGTAATTGAATATTATTTTAGCTTTTACACGGAATGAAAATATTTCTATTTTATCAACACAACGTTAAAATATGCAATTATTCAATAAATAATCTTTTACATTAATTTAGTAATGAACAAAAAAATATTTACCAATTGACGATAAATAATTTTTTTTTTTCATTCTTTTATTAAATTTAATCTTTTGCATAAATAATTCAAAAGAAGAATTAGCATTTTAATAAAAAAATATATAATCAACAAATACCTATGTCCATGGCATAAATAAAATTTGTTTTAAGTTACGGTTTAATAATAAAATACAAGTCACTTCAGTGTACCGCAGTAAGATGAATTTATATGTACATTTTGCTACAACATTTGGCCATAAGTCGAGAATGAATGAAATCCTAGAAATTTACATAATCAGATATAAATATATGCATAAAGATCAAACCGACCCAAAAGTCGAATAAAATTCAGATATATGAAAATAATTGATTAAAAAACACTATTTATTCGCACACTCAACAAATTATCACTATATTCACATAATAATAAATAATGAATTTCATGTAATATCTGGGCTACATTCCAAAAGGAAGTTATATGAATTTTAATGGCAATAATAATCTTGGCTCAAAATATAAGCTGGAGTTAGAAATTTGTTGAGAATAGAAGGGATACGACGCAGTTTGATGGCGTGAGTTCTTTCATGTAACCGCTCGTCGCCCCTCTTTTTGCATCAATCTTTTACGACTGTCTCACTCGCACTCGTATATATAATACCAAAGAAGAAACCGACTCTGGACCGAATCCACCCGAGTTGCCCGAACACAAGCGACGACATCGAGCTATCGATCCTACTGTCGTTCGATTTAAAGGACAGTACGACCTTGGTAATACTACCCCTGTCTCTTTTTACACCCTACTATTGTTTATTAGACTTTCTATAAATACAAATATTTAACTTCCTCTATTTTTATTTTTTATTTATCTTTCTTTTTTTCGAATAATCAAAAACTTCCTATTTAGGTCACATTTTAACTCATTTTATTGATTTATGTATTTTAATAAAATAAAAATTTAATAAAATACATTATTAAATTACAAAATTGAAATACTTTACTTACTGAATTAATTGAAAATGATGTTTATTATTATATTTATGATAAAATGGTGAATTAAAATTTTTTGCTGACAAAAATTGAAAGAAATTAAATAACTTCATGAGGCTAAAAAGCAGATTGAAGTTTAAAATTTATATGCCCTCTCTTAAACTTGTACTTCTTTTTAAAACGGAAATTTTAATTACATTACATAAGTTAAAGACTCTTAAGTAGAGAGCAAAGTTGCACGAGAGAAAAAAATTTGCGTCACTAAATTCCCACCTCTCTTTACCTTTTATTGACTAATAATCCAAGTTCCGTCACAAAGACGACAATTGCCGAGTATTCTCGAACAAATTCGATAGTTTCCGCACTTATAACTGCAACTATCATTCCAATACTTTCAAAGCTCATACATTGATTAAAATTACTACTGAAATGTTAATTAAAAAAGAAAAATAGTACAAGCAATAATTAAAAATAATAATGAATCAAGAGACACTAATGATAAATAAATGAAAATAGCTCTACTTTGATATGATTAAATCAGCAAGATCAATTAAATGAATCTATGTCTAAAAATGGATAAGAAATCAAACGAGTTAACGAGTATGGATTAATCTTAATTGAAATAGAATCACAATTCATGAAAGAAAATGAGTATGTCAGTTATAAGGCAAGGGGAATTAAATACCGTCAACTCACGTTTTACGAAGAAAACAGCTAGCGCGTTTTCTCGAGCGACCCAGAGCGACTCTAGTGGCCAACAGCAAATCGTACCAGCTTTGACCTTGGCATTGAACTTGCGGTAGTAGGAGAGAAGAGAAACGGGGTGGAGTGAAGTGGGGAATATGTAGTGGTGGGAGCACTTGAGGGCGATGAAGGAGGAGAGAAGTGAGGAAAGGGTTGCATCACCTCGCGCAAGTCTGAACCGCCACGCGTCAATACAGCGGCCTAGCCCATGACTCTATAACCTTCGTCGTTTGCCCATCGGTGGAGCATTTATAGTAGAAATGAGTGGGGGAAATAACTGAGAGATAAATCGATGAAATTTTCGGCTTGCAAGAGAGAGAAAGCGACATGTGACTGTATTTGTAAACACACCAAGTTAAATAATAAATACTACGAAAACTCGGGAAGCTGCATCACATGAAAAGAATTGACATTTGGAAAAATGTATATTGAAAATGGAAAATAAGAAGGATAGAGAATTATTTGAGACGTAGAAGGAACGTTGCACGCAGGAAAGTCAGGGAGAAGGAATGCCGGTGGTGATTTGTATGAATGAAGACGTAGTTGGAAGGAACTGGGTCGATCGTTCTATGGGGATTCGTGTGGCTTGAGGAAGGGGAAAAGGACGCTAAGGAGAACGTAACACCTGCTTTTATATACTAGGATACACTTCTATATCACACAACAGACGGGAAGCCATTATTTGCCTTGTTATGTGGTATGAAGAAGACAACAAAAACAACGCGTGACTTCAGATATAGAGGTTTAGTTTGTATATGATGATTTGAGTCATCGCGTGCCGATTCACTACAGTTAAAATCCCTGTTTGGTATCATCATATTGACCTTCAATATATGTGTACATGATTGATTGATAGCTTACTCTAAAAGTTCAATTTCATTTTTACAGTAACTTAGAAATATTTCATTTATTTTCATTATACTTTTTTATTATGATGGATGTTTTATTTTGTCATCGTGTTTTCATTTTTCAAATATTTTATTTAATATAAATATAAATTTAACGATGGAAATGAATGTAAAAAATGATTGATGGGTTAATTTTTTTTTTCTAGCTTTTATGGATGAAGAAAAATATTTAAAAAATTTTAAAATAGTCACAATTTACTTCCGGGTTATTATTGAAGACGCATAGCATCGTGTAATGGTATAGAACATAACAAACATGATACTAACATGTATCAATTAAAAATATCTGCATAAAAAACACTTGAAAAACGGTGTAAACAAACATGACACACTATGAGCTTTGAAGACTCGCGCAAACGCTATACGAAATATACTTTATCTTGACCTTCGTGAATAGGAGCAATTATTTTATTATTCTCAAATTTAAGTAGACATAATTATATAGGTAGATTAGAATTACGTATTATCAGAATAAATATACGAAATTTAAACTAAACGTAATTTTACAGAACTATAAAACATTTTATCGACAATAAAGACAAGAGATTAAAAATAAATTAAAAATTTTATTTATTTAGAAAAAATAAACTTACCAAGTTCCATTGGGTATAACCAGCTGTTAATATCAAGTATAAGGTCCATCTTGAATGATTCTGATTCGCAGTGTAAACGACTGACTGAAAAAAGAAAGAAAATTAAATTTATTACCTGAATATTATCAACAAAATACTATAAAGTTTACATTAATGTTGTCATTGAAATGAAAAAATTCCAAAGATTAATTATAATGCATGACTCATGTTATAATTGTCATGAAATAATATTTCCTCGGAAGTGATACATGTATTAACAAATTAAAACTTGTAAATATTAATTAATTTATCAACAAATCATAAATGCAGTCTGTTAGATATTAATTAATTTCACTTTCTATCGAAGAAAAAATATTTTTTTTTTCAAATATGAAAAAATGAAATAACGTGAAATGAAAAGCTAACGTATTGGAGACGTTTGTTTGAAATTTTTCCCAATCTACTCTTGTCCAAACACGTCGTAATACGTAGCAAGATGACGCAATACATCCAATTTTAATGTGACGTTATGAATTTTAGGTTTTTTTTTCGTCAAAACACGTCACTCAAAAATCAAAACATTACAATTATGATGTTTATAAAAAATAATCTATGCTTATTTACGTTTTTTTTCCATCTAATTGAGGTTGAATTTCTAGTAGAATTGTCATAGAAGAAACTCAAAGCCATCTCTGATTACTAAACACCAGATTGTTTGGCATAGAACTGCTCCAAGATCGACCATATGTTACGGTAGTGACCTTGAATATCCACACAAAATTCGATAGCTTAATATCCACCGTTACAAGTAATATTATTTTTTCATTTTATGATAGAGATAATTTGATAAGAGCTCAGTGTAAGTATTATAAAACTTCGATAAAAATATATATAAATATATTTAAATATAAACTTTGATAAAATGTTAAAAATATTGACAATGAGTCACGAATTAAGAACGAAGAAGAGCCGAACTGTGTCTACAGCTACATCGCGAACAATTCCTTTACTTTTGTTGGGATCTAGTCCTCTTCCTGTCCCTACCCTAATCGAGTATCGTTCGCCCACGCATACCCGCAACCCTTGAGTGAGACGGCGCACATCGTTCGTCGCAAAGGGTAGGAGGAAGAAACTCACTAATGTACTTACCCCCTCTACTAAAAATTCTTGATTTTTCATGATGATTCTTTCTACCTGACACATGTGACCGTTTCCTATTATTTGTTGTTTTTTATATTCTCCCTATTTATATACTCGCTGCAATCTATTTTTATGTTAATAAACGATCATTCAGTTGCATAATAATACATTAGTCAATAAAAAAATGACAAAGAAAGTATGAAAAATTAAACGATTTTTAAAGCTTCATAATAATAAAGGTGTAATAATTTTCGAAATAAATTAATTAATATTTTAAATATTTTTAATAATAAACTCGTCGACGAATAAGTAAATTCAATAATTTAATTTACTGGAATAAAAATTATTTAGAATTATAAATCGATATATATGAGATACTTTGTTAGTCGTTAACAGTTTTTTATTTCACAGTACACCAAGATTTATGGAGCGAGCGAGTTAGTAAAGAAAAACTTTCGACAATGAATAAAAAAAATGTAGGAAATATGAAGAAAGTTGTTTTTAGTGAAAAAAGTTGGTAGATTTCGAATAAAAAAAATGACGAAAATACTAGAATACGGCTGAGAGTCAATAAAAGGTATAAAGAAAGATAAGCGCAAAGTTGGAGGAGTATCTGAGCGACATTTGCACAGAATGTAAAAATAGAGTGGGAGAAAATTTCACGGACAAGGGGGTTGAAAAGGGAGGGAATTAGAGAGAATGCGCGAGGGGGTTTCTCAACTGCGCAGTGACTGTATCCGTTATCGACCAGTCGGCTGACGCTATAAATACTGGGCAACGGGCCCTCATCATCCCCTTTGCCCTCTTTCTATACCTTGAAACCAACCCCTGTTATCCAAACACCCACACACAACCTCTCAACATCCTCCCTCGCTTCTCTCACCCCCTGTTATATCGCGCGCATTCGCGGTCTCATTCGCTCTTGCCTCCCGGCTATCCCATCAAAAGAGGGGTGGAAAACCTTGACCTTCAACTGTCGAGAGAGGGTTGATATACATAGTTAACTTTTACCACCAAGATCCCAACCTTATCCCAATCCATTTTCGTGTAAAAATAATTTTTAACTTTAATTATCTTATGCAAGATTTACTTCAAGGGAGTCTGATGATATACAGACAAGCATTTTAGGCTTAAAATATATATTAGAACACTTGCTACCAGTTAACATAAGCCTTTGAGGAGGTTCTTCCGCGCCCCAACTACTTTATTAACCCATTGACCGAAATCGACGGTGATGTTAGTGTGAGGGGACTTACGAACATAAACAGAAGTGAATGATTGTCTTGAAATAAATTATACTTCATTCGAACTTTGACTAAACGTTGCATTATTCAATTTATTTTTCTTTTTGAAAATGAAATTTAATTTATTTTTAATTAAATACTCCTGTTGACTATAAAATAATATGATATGTTGATATTCACAAGTTCATGGATTTTAATTCTTTAATCAATTCTTGAGTTTACACATTTAATAAACAGACTAGTGCAAGTAAAATTAAAAAAATTTCTCATAAAAGATTTCAATTAAAATTACAGCTTATAATTAAAAAGTTTAACAATAAAATGAAAATAATTAAATAAAACATATTACATATTTTCATTTAACTTTTGAATAAATGTACATAGATCTGATATCTTTTTTTTATCATTCAGAACAGGAAATTTGAAGTTGTACTTATTCATTATTATTACTTATAATTGCAATAAAATAATAAAAATATATTCTAAAGTATTTTTTCATAAAATAAATGAATTTTTTGATGTACACATCAACCTTGAACTCATAGAAAACTTGAAAATAATTTTGTGAATATAAAATTGTATTATGTAAAACAACTTGATTTTACAAAGTAAGGTAGATATATTTTTTCAAATTATTGCTTTTGCAAAATATCATTTTTCTACACTAATGACATTCATTATTATTCACAGTGAACTATTAAAAAAAAATCACTACAGAAGTTTTTAGTTTTCACATTCAAGCTTAACAGAATTTAATTTTTGTAAAGTAAAATATGATCTACTTCATTCAACGTCACTGGAAAATTGCTATTTTTATTTCAAGAATTTTTTTCTCTTCAAATTAATAAAGAGTATTACAAAAAAGAAGTTATAATGAACACGACAATGATACATTTGCAATTCTTTTATTTATATTTTAAAATTTCGTAAAATTAGCAACTGATAGAATCAAGTACCAACGTAACTCGAGTCTGTTCATATACGGACGTAACTACTTAAACAAAGCAATGCAGTGATCATGTGTTAATTATCTCGACTAATTTTGCCATTCTATTCGACAAAATGTGCCTTGATAACTAATCTGATTTGCTGAGATTACATAAATGACAAATCAATGCAAAGATCAGACTATTTTACCTTGTTAATATAGCTTTTCAAGAGCTCTTCTATAATTTAAATAGATACTTTAATTGACTTGACAGTCGATCCGAGTAACTCTTAATTAGTCGTCACTATATTTGTTCTATCAAAATAAAGTCTAGTCTTGGATTATAAATTATAGTTTTTTACTACTTGAAATAATAAGCTGACTTACTCTATTGAACAATTAAATAAATTATGTAAAATTAACTTAACTAAGAAATAAACTCAATAGTATTTTAACTACAGATCTTCAATTTGTCTCCTTTGAAAGGTAACGTAATTTCACGTGGTATAATTACTGAAAACAAAGATCTAATGAGTTATTTGTATAATTAAACAATTCTGAAAGCCTAAAGGTATTCAGCGTGAAGTTTCAAATTTGAAGATAAGAAATCTTTTAAGAAATTTTATTATTTTATATTCAAGTACTTTTTTTAATGATAACTGGTAAAAATGGAAGCTAAAAACATTGGATTATTTTTGTAAATGATTATTAACATGGTTGAAGTATTTTTAGAATTTTTATATTCATTTGTTTCATTTGATAATAACAATATGATTTAAAGTTTGTTTATTGTTAAATATTCATGTAGAGTACTGAATTAATATGCAGATGAAGAATTTTTATTTTATTTTCTAGAGATAAAAGCAGTTGAGTTTTACGACTTAATTGGGAAACTTCATTTTGAACTTTACGAAGTTCACAGCTGACGACACCAAGAATTACCAAGATTTTACTTTGAAACTATTAACTGTTTTTTGAATTTACATACTTAAATGATACAAATTTTTTAATTACATAATTTAGAATAATGATGCATAAAAAAAATAAAACATTTTGTTAAATATAATTTTAACTGGAATTAAGTGATAATTTATTTCTTAAAAGTTTCTATCATCCAATAATAAAATAAATTATGGCAATTCATGTTTCCAAGTTTAATGATTAAATTCATTAGAAAATGAAAAAAAACTATTATTTCACGAATTATAATTATTTGAAAAAAAAAAGTAAATTAATCGAAAAATGAGATTTTAATTACAACGTACATTTTTTTATAGCAGTTGAAAAATAAGTAGAATTTTTTATTGTTTATAAATGAATCAATAATATTTGTGTTTTCAAAAAAAAAATGATATACATCAAACTGAAACAAAAAAATTCTTTTATCATATCATTACGCAGAATTTCTTGAAAAAACTCATGAATATATGATGTCATAATGATAAAAATTCAACCGAAATAATCACCTTATCAATTGTTTTTTTCCGAGAGTAAAAAATTCAACCTATTTTTTTTTTTATCAATTTCATAAAAACCTTGCCAATGACACAGAATTATCCATAACCACAGTTAATTATATTGATATTAAAAATAAAAGCTATCATCAGTCTGATAATAATAAAAATAAATCATCAAAAACTATGCACATGCATATCTTATAAAATAATGTCCATTATTTCATCAAATTCGAATAAAATAGAAAAATAATTAAACCTCAGTATCTAAATAAAAGTCGGAAAATTCAGCATTAATTATGATGATGATTAACATGAAACTGTCAATTTTCGGAGTTAAAAAGAAAAATAGATAATTAAAGGAGACGATCGTGGACGAACAAAAGCGGGAACTTGCGTAACATTTATTACAAGGTCATGTCGCAGCGCCAAACGATAATTCATTCTTATCTCCGTTATCGGACGCACTTGTGAGCACCCGACCATGTCTCGTAACCAAGAGCAACATAGTGTATCAAAACCTAATGCAATAATGTACAGTAATTTGATATAACTAATTTAAAAATTGCTTATCAATGTCTTTGCAACCCACGTTATGCTAGTGTTCATTATCATCTATTTAGAATTTTTCTATCCATGTATATATATATTTTTTTTACATATTTCGTCATCATACAAAACCCCAATGGCTGAATATATTCAAATGCATGTTATGTGTCAAAAATATCCAAGCCGGGATAGAAAGCAGTTCCGTCGCAATAAGAACTGAGAAGTCTTACTACGTGATGATTCATTCTTTCTGGTTATTTTATCGCTTAATTTTACGATCGTCATTCATTTCGTGACTGATCGACACAATACGACCTAGGGGAATAGAATATGAGCTTTCGTAAGAGCCTGGAGCAACAAAAACAAGTCAATTTATTGCTTATAATGCTCAAGAAAGTTATTGATGAATCAGGTTAGTGGTGAGATCTCAAAATAACTAGGAAAATATTCGTATTATTTTTTGGTAAACACTTTTCTCAAGCTAATGAAATATTTATTTAATGTAAATTACAGTTTATAAGCAATACTTTATGATAACAATTGATAAAAAAACTATTTTCGACGAAGTCATGAATATCTTTTCTATTTTACTCCAATTTTTATCACCTGATTTCAATACAAAATACTTCATTTGAATAATTTTCAGGTCAAGTTCGGTTCAACCTTGAAATCATTTCGTTTGTATTTCCCAATTGAATGTAGGAAGCAATTTACTCTCATTTTTACCAATTATCTTTGGACATAGTCTAGAATAGAACCATGATACAATAAAGATGTTAATATTTTGTTTTTTTCCTTACATATCATCAAAACTTTCCATATATATTCAAAGAAATTTTTTTAGTTAACAATAAAATAGTGATTGCAAATTGATAATAGATGAAACAAAGACATTCTCGCATGATTTCTCATGTTCTAAACACTTAAAAACACCGGCAAGCGACACAAGTAACATCAACAGAAGAAGAGATATGAAGATAAGAACAACTGAAGATTGTGTATTGCATCCAGAATCGAGATTGAGAGAAATCAAGTCACGATTCATGCACTTGAGATTTTTATTCAATCCACATACAGAGATGGTATTAGATCCATAACCTACTCTTTCATATAAAAAGTCATTAATCGTCTCGAACGTCGCGTTTTCCGGATCGATACTCGGTCTATCCCAGGCGGATTGCATGTTTTACGATCAAGACCTCCCGCGAGAGTTATAAACCATCAGTGTCCAGAGAAGAAAAAAGAAAAAAAGTAACATCGTACCTGCATCAATGATCGATCCATCTTGGTTGATGTTGTTGGCTCGACTAACACTTTTGTCGATGTTACGAGGATTCAGAAAGACGCAATTTGGCTAACGACGCACGCACGGGAAAAAAAGATGGAGCGAGAGCATGAGAAAGAGAACGGCGGAAGAAGAACAGCAGCGCTGCCGGATCTACGCATAAGCCATTGAAAACTGCGAGTTTATTGAAAAACAATTTTTTAACTATTCAAATAACTATTATGGAAACTTATTTATTTTATTTGTAAGACATTGCCAGTTAAAAGTGAACACTTGTAAAACTTGGTGGCACTACTGATGATATCTTAATTGGCGAAAAGCCGAAGAAAAGTTGCCGGAGAGTGTGGCAGTGCAAAAAAGAACGCGCGGAAGACAACCATCCTGGCTGCCTTGGCACTGACAGTGGCCCTCGCGCCTAGCAACACGAAGGCCGAACTGCTGCGGCAAGCCGCACGGAAACCAGCCGGCTGAACATACCCCCTTCTCTCTCCTTGCACAGCTCCACTTTGCTGCCTGTCCGACGGGATACACTACATAGCACTCACCGTCTCTCTATACCTCCACCACTTATGCCATCATCAAAGATCCTCACTGTGTTTCTATTCTTTTATTTTTATTTCATTATTTTATTCTTTCTCGTTATATTCATCCATTTGTTAGCTATCAATATCTTTCATTAAATTACCAACGTCATTCCACGCACATTATTCATTTTGAATAATACAATAAAGTCCTGGAGATAAATGAGTTTAAATATATTAATGCACATGACAGAAATGTTTTTATTGACTGGGTCAAGTTCAAGATTGTAATTTAGCCTTTTTTGGAATTAAAAAAAAAACCCGGAACTTTGAAATAATTTTTTTTTTCCTTTTAATTATGATTCAATTATAAAATTAGCAGTAAAATATTTTTTTTTTCTAAGTCAATATTATATTAAAAGTTTGAAATAACTTGGATTAAACGATAAAATATGTATTATTTTTTATAATCTCTGAAGAGATACTTAAGTTTGAAAATATATACTCCATTTTACTTTAGATTTCTGTAATAAATCCACATAATTCTGTTCTCATGAACTCCTATTAATTTTTCACGATTTAAAATTAACAACAAAACCATTCTACTGGAAAATAAATGATTCTTCAACGATTAAAACTATTAAAGAATAATTGTTAATTCACTCGATACCAACAGAAACAACTCAAGTTATGAATGATTAATGGCATACATATTTTTATCGTTTACCTACTTTTCCTTATGTATTAACAAATAAAATACAAAAAAAAAAAATTTTTTTTAACTATTATAAAAATGACCAAACAATTATCACAAATATGTATATTTTTAAAAAAGGAAAAAAAAACTTTGAAATAATTAACAACAATTGAATTATTTATTCTAACAGCTTCAAAAATGACTTGGTAATTTGGCGATTTAATGGCATGTTATACATCATCTTATGTCCTCTCAATATGAATTGTAAGTGCAGGGAAATTATGATAATACAAAACCCAAGTCTTGAGAGGAATGGGAGAGAAGAAAATTAGAATGTACTTTGCAATAAATTCTCGACATTATAATAAGCACTGAGTGCTCCTCTCTCTAAGTTGTCTGAGCAAATCAACGTCACTAGCTCACAAGCATACATACAGCAGTATTATTACCTTCAACAACTATCTATGTATACATATTCAAACTATGTACATACACAAAGCAAATAATGAATTGTAATAGCTTATAAAAATTTTCAAACTACATATCGTTGTGGATATGTAGCTGTTTTTATTTTACTTGTTTTTGAGTTACTCTAACCCTTGACCATTCATTACAAAAAAAAACCGGCTCTCGAACCCCTTATGTCTTTCATCCTTTCAATAAGAAAAATCCAGATCCCTTGTTCTCTCTCCCCCGTATCGTTGCCCTAGTTTTCGCACATGGCTAGTTGATCAATAATCTCATTTGCAAATTGCCCACCATTTTTATTCAATTCAAACCAGTTTTAAGCTGAAATTCATATACAACCGCATGTCAAAAAATTTTTTAAGGAGCAAAACAAAATGAAGATTGTATTTAAAAAAAAATATTTATACTGGTAGACAAAACAATTGAATAAATTTATCCAAGATATATATTTACATCACCTGAAGTTGAATATTAGAGAATTAAATTAATAATTAGATAAGTATGTTTTTTTTTTCAACATAGCGACTGTATGATAACGCTCAATTTTTCAATGTCATCGAGCGAACAGAATGGCAGAAAAAGTCTCAATATATAAGAGATGAGTATATGAGCGAAGCGGAAGAAAAAACACGAAAAACATGTATCGTGTTACGACACGAGCATTGAATATAGATCATAGCTTGAGTTACCAAGTCATATGTATCTGATCTTAAATCTCAATATACTAGTAGTCAATATTCACACGAAATTACGAAACATTCTGGTCTAGTATATAAATCGAATATTTTTATAATTATTACGTACACCTTGACAATATTTTCATATGAGAAATAAATAATTTTTTTATCAACTAAAATAAAAATAAAAAATTCTTGTATTTTATGTAATAAACCATTCAAATATGCATGAGACAATGTCATGAGAAATTGCAAAATATTTCCCGATAAACACGACTTTATTTTTTATCGACTTTTTTTATGTAATAAAAGAAAATGCATGAACTAATATACACTACATAAAAAGTAATATTCAGAATAAAATAATTGAAAATTAATAACACTAAAGATTATTTTTGTTATAAAATAAAATATTCTATTATTTATCAAACGATAAGCAAGATCCTTTTAGATAAATCAAATAATTCCATTGACTAACTCTACAGTTTTTATTTATTAAAACAATAATCCTCTAATGGAATTGCATTGGATAATTAATCAAATAATAAAAAGTTATTAAATATTTATAAAAAAATAATAAACCACCCGGTGCAATAGGCTGTGAGGTCTTATTGATTTTATTGAGTACGAAAGCCATTACAAACATCTGTCTGTTCAAGCTTAAAAATAATTTATATAAAAACCGATTCGTACTGTTTACTTTTTTATGTAATAGATGGTCTAAATAGGCATAAAAAATGGAGCTTATTCACCTAGAAAATAGCCTTTACTGCACTCCCTCTACTGGGATGACATCTCTAATGCAACCTTGAAGCCAAGTCTGACCTTGACCGTGTCAGTCCCCACTGTTGGCAAAACCCACCATTCTGCTTCGCTCACGTCGCGTCATATTACGCGAATGCGATGTTGCTTTGGCACTGCTGCTGCGCTGCGGGCTCATCGCTGCATCGACCGGCCGCAGCAACCCTCGCCAACCATTCCCTATATGTACAATATCAGCGTCCCGCCAAGACTACCAACGACATATTACTACCCTCCTACCTCTCTACTTACTTTTCTCACCCTTCACTCAAACATCTCCTACACTTCATACCAACCAGTCCCACTAACACCCATCGAACTTTCCTACCCGTAAATATATTTGCGTGTACTCTAAGCGGATGAAAATTCTGGGTTACAAGTGCAAAAATCTATCTTGTATCATGATGAAATATGAACGCAGTGAAAAGGAAAATTTCTATTGGTATTTGCTAGATTACTTGTACCGATGATGATAACCTTACCTATATGTAATAAAAATACCGCATTTAATCTATCAGTGGAATTATACTTCTTGATTAATTCTGCTGGATTTACTAGGTCCAATGAAAATACTGTTTTTTCATTATGAATTAAGGCGGATAAATTCTTGGGAATTATTTACATCTATAATCTTATGAAATTATTTTTATATCTTCCGTAGTTTTACGATTATGAGTAGTTTCAGGTCATTAATCTTACTATCAATTTCATGCATTAAATAATTTTACTATTTATTATGTTTTATTGTATATAAATTATAACGATTATTTGGAAAAGAATTTTATAATAATTTAGTTTTTCATTTATAAATGTTTTGAAAATTTCATTGGATTTTTATTTTATATGGATGAAAAAATCTTTTGTGATAATAACTCATTAAGAATTAATTTATGAAGTGAAAAGCTATTTTATTGAATTTGAAAAAATAATGACTTTACTAAAAGCACTTTTTCGCTAAAAACGACAAATTTTCCATTTTACCTAAGAGAAATATTTTTAGAGCACTTTTTAATTCAGTCAGATTACTTTATTATTTAGGTCATCTATAGAATTTGACTTACATTCATCAACAATTGATATTTCTACTAATTAATTTGAATTTATAATTTAAAAAAAACAGTTTTGTCTTGGTGTTCATAAAAAAAAGAATTTTATATTTTTAAAAAAATTTCTTTCCAATATATTTACTATTTTTATATTCTTTTATTAAATTTTAATTAAAATGATTGCTTTGCGGTTATTTTTAATGAATTAATTTTATCAAGAATTCAATTTTCTATCGATAAAATTTTCCTCATGCGTATTCTCTTGTATTCAACTGACGCAAGAGAGTTAACGATTTGGTTGAGCTTCATTGCGCAACACTGACTGTTTACTTTTGCAAAAAAAAAATATATTACATTAAATCAATTTTAAAGTTGATCAATTTTTGGTATTTTTATTAACTCTAATAGTAAGTGTAAATAATCATCACACATTCCTTTTTACAAATATTTGTAAAAATAATCAACTTGAAAGATGTTCAATTTTGTAAAAATGTTTATTTACTAGAAAAATGATAAATGATGGTTGAAATTGAAACATGTTCACTTTAATTAATGAGTGGTTTTCTCATTTATTTTGGAAATAAAAACTGGATAAAAAGTGAAACTAATTCATCAACGAAAAGTCAGAGGTTAATAAAATGAATAATAATAATCATCACCGAACAGTATTATTAAAACACTCTGAAATTATGTTTGCTTATAGATATTAAAGATAATGACGCCAAAAGTTATAAAATGATTGATTTTTTCATTGTTCTTTCGAATGACGTTGTAACTCAATACAAAACGAAATACATATAATGCGCAATTTACGAATACAAAATTTAGAGAGAACGTTTATATTTGTATAATTGATTTATAAATATACACATATGCTGTTTGATTCATATAAAATATTTGATTGTTTATGACAGTTAAAAAACTTATCGTAACCGTTATTTAGTTCAAGGTCAACGATTTAAGATCTTGAACAGTTTGTGAAAAACGTTTTTATACGTGTACCCTCCCTCCAAAACATGGAGCTACCGCGTTGCCGGCAACTTGATGTTCATACATCAGCAACGACATATTTATGTTTTATAATCGATGACAATTTATAAAATTTGTGTAAAAAAAATAGTTAAGTAATAATTAATTGTTTTTTAATACTCACCCCTGTCAAATTTTTTACCCTCAGGATCTATGTCTTTTACGTTAAAAATATCCTCGAATAACACACCCGCCATTTTACTAAAACTGTGGTGGCGCTATGATGTGGCGAGTCTAAGAACTAAACTCAAGGCTGTAAACAAAAAAAATTTTTATAACTATTTCTAAATCTAGTTATTTTCTAGAGATTTTTATTAATTATAATTTTAAAATGGTAATTGAATAAAAATAAAAATTTTCAATACATAATAATTGAAATTAATTGATAAAAAATATTCATTATATTGAATAAAAAATTTCTATTAATAACAGTTCCAACGTAACTGACTGATGTTCATCATTTTACTGGTTTAAAACCATTTTGATTTATTTTACAAAACTTAAAATTATTTATTACATTTATCACATGACGTAAGTTTAACTTTTATTGAAGGTTCAGAAATATGAAGCAATATTTTATCTAACCCATTTAGAAGACCTTTTGAAAAGAACCTCTTCTAACAATTTACAGAAAACAAAATCTTAATAAAGATTAAGTTTTGTAGTAATTAATACTCTTAAAGTCTGATCAAAAGCAGTACAAACAGCGAGACCTTGTTTATCTGGAGACCAATCTAGAGAGCTAACTGGCTGAGATGACATAATGCAATTTTGAAGTAAATCAACATTTCCTACTACACCTTTTTCCATTCCATCTGCATCTGTTTGTCTTCGTTTCTCAGGATAATTACTAGAATGTATTAAATTATTTTAAATTTTTTATGCACTTACCATACTCTATATGAATTAATTTCTATAATTGTTATTCCATTTTCTTTAATTACAATAAAAATAAAAAAAATTTTTTTCTTAAAAATAATGATACTTACTATTTCCATAAATACAAAGTTCCACCTCCACCACATGTCATAAAAATTTCACGGTTCTGAGGTAAATGTCTAACAAGCCAAACCGTGGATTTATGAGCCTGAGAATAAATTTATTCATCATTATTTATAGAATAATATAGCAGTGTTTGTAAATATTTGAAATATTTATAGAATAATTTGATTTATGTTACCTTTTCTGTAAGATAAGCAAATCCTTTTTTTGGATGTTGGGTTCTCAAATCAAATAAATAAATTTTTGACTCCAAAGTTGTAGCAACAAGCTTATTCATTGAAATATCCTGCCTATCAAATTCTAAGCTGCAGACACCATTCTTTAAATTACTTTCCCATCTTAACGACATTGCCTTGAGATCAAACATCTTAACATCACCATTATCATAACCAGCAGCAACAACACGTTCTTCAGAATTATACGAATTACCAAATGCAACTGTCCAACAATCTCGACGACTTTCACCTTCTTTTGGTTCCATCACAGCTACAGGACGGCCTTTTTGTCTTGGATCCCAGACTTTGACACTTCCATCTCTAGATCCAGTAACAATTTCTGGTGCTCCACAACCGATAGATTGACCAGCAACTCCATCAATAGCATTTATGATCTCACTATGAGCATTGGCTGAATATACAGGGATAGATGGATCTTCTAAATTATAAATATTTAATTTTCCCTGAGTAGAAATAATTAGGAATATTAATAACTGTATGAAATGTAGGAAATTAATGAAGAAAAAACAACTTACTTTGAAATCACCTGTTGCTAAATATCTTTCTCGTAAGCTGGAAGCTTTGAAAGTACCACATTTTATGGGGTTTGAGCGTTCTACATCTTTAATCAACTTTAGTTCCCCGCTAGATATTTCATAGATTTGTATTATGCCGGAACCACGAGGTTTAGATCCCATAACCACAAACTTTGCACTGCATGGAATCCATTTTGCGTCAAATAATGAATAATCTACTGGTTTTTCAATATGACAAATTATTTGAGGCTTCTCCAGCCGATCCATGACACTTTACAAGACATAAACCTCTTTTTGTTTTGTCAATAAAATGTATACATATAATTCGCTGACAAACGTCGTTCGTTATTCAAAGTTACTGTAAACAATTTTAGCGCCCTCTACAGACTATTATAATAACTACGAGATAATTAATAAATTTCAAATATATTCATCATTGATACATTTCAAATATATATTCTATTTTATTTAAAAATTAAAAAAATACAAATTTTATTGCATCAAGTATGAGTTTACGAAATAAATAAACTATTATTTTACATCAAAATTAAATACTAAGCTGATTTTTCGCTTTCACACTCTTCATTTTCATCCTGTTCCATTAATTCATTTTCATTGTCTTCTTGGTGTTGCGTTGGTGGTTCTTGTGACTGTTCTTGTTGCTCTCCTGTTGGTTGAGTAACTTTTCCTTCAACTTTACGAGAAAATATTCTGAGATATGTCTTTACATTTCTGTTCATCTCGCTCATCTAAAATAGAATAATTTTTTTATTTGTAAGTTAGAATACTATAGTCAAAATTACAGTTGGAAAAAATTATAATGATACTTACAGTTTCTATGATTTTGTCCAAGGCTATTTTTATATCTTTCTTACTCTCTTCATCATAAGAAACGTTTAAAAATGTCAAAGCTTTTAATAAGATTTCTCGATCAATATGGTATTTAGGAGTAAGTATTTCAGCAAGAATAGAAAATGCTAATTCATTATGTACAGAATAATTTTGCAATTCTGGCTTATGAAGTTTACTATCAGTAAGACCAAGAATAAAATCGGATATATGGTTAGGATCAATAGCCTGAAGAGGACTTCCCTCAGGGGCATTTTCGATAATTCGAAGTGTTGGCATAAAAGCACGTGAAAGAATTTCATGACTTTGATGTCCTTTTAATACATAAGTTTTGAAAAAAGTAATTAAGCAATTTCGCAAGTTGACATCGTCATCAGTAACTGGATTATGAAGCAGAATAATCAATCGAGACACAAGAGGTACACTGCACAGTTTTCCATGAAGTAAAAGCTTGCAGAAACCTTCAGTTGTTATGGTACGAATGTCTTGATCTCCGTGCTCTAAAAGAGCAAGCATAATTTTAACAATATTATTATTATTTTCATTCTCAGAAACTAAACTAAAACCAGTAATGTCTTCTTCCGTATTATTGTACAATGGACGACCGTTGCGTCTACTTTCATTTTGAGAATTATTTTCATTATCATCTGGAGCAACGTCAAAATAATCAAGGCCGTAAAGTAAAAATAAATCGAAAATAACTTTAAGTGATACAATCCATACATCACGATCTTCTTCAGTAAATTGTAAAAGATAAATCATCCAATGCTTTTTTGCTAACTCTTTATCTAATAGAAGACAAATGCCAACTGCTTTCAAAGCTGAAATATGAACTGGGTTATTCGTATGAAGCAAAGCACCAAGTGCCATGTTCTCAAACAAACTTCTTAAAACTGGTGTGAGAGTTTTAATCGATGGTGCTTGAGCCATTCCACACATAATCTGTAAACACTTGATCATTGTATCTGGATCATTTTTTTCTTCACAAGCTTCTGGTTCTTGAGTTTGTGGTACAGCAGGATTTACATTTATCGCATCAATTTCTTTTTGTTTGTCACTGAGTACTTGTTTCAGTCGTTGAGCTTCAATAAAATCTTCATTTTGAACTGCATCATATAATTCATTTTCTAGTGTCACCATACTCATTTTTATTCTTTGTATTTGCATTAATCTTTCATGTTGTTCATCATCGGAGATTTGTTCTACTTCAATATTTGTCTTCATTGGAACTCGGATATCACTAATAACATGTGCTAAACAATTCAAACGTGTTGATATGTCAGGAATAACTTTTTCACAATACTTTACAATAGAATCAATTATTTTTCCAGTATGATTTTCATTCAGTAAAGTATCAATCATCAATTGTTTCAAGTTTGATCGGCCTGCTTCATCAGATAGATCATAAGTCTTTGCAATTTCAAATAATTGATATAATATAAATTGCTGTGTCATTTTTTCAATATTAGAATACTCTCCAGAAGTCATTTTTTCTTGATATTTGCTGATATACTGACAAAATTTACTCAACTCTGGGAGACATTCGTCGATTAAATCTGTGCATTGTCTTTGATGAAAATAATCCACAAGACACTTCCAAAAAACAACATTTTCGCTGTTTAGATTATCGATTGGTATTAATTTTTCATTGAAGTCTAGAGGGATCTCTTTTATTAAAGCTGTCTTTTCAATTTTATTAAACAAAATAGGTAAAACCATACTAATTGTTTCAGAATTAGTTTCAGCATCAAGAGCTCTTATTAAATCTATATAGTTATTATTGAGATGTTGAAGCCATGCAGGTAAAAGAGTTTCTTTAATGACATTTCGTACTGATTCTGAACGATCTTTCAATCCTTCACGGAGTAGTGCTTCTCGATTTCTAATTGTTAAAGAGCGAACAAGAATTTTACTGATAAAAATATATGCTGCTTTACGAACAGTATCACTGATATCACGAGTTCTTCGAAGAATAGCTTGTAAAGCTTTTCCATTACGTCCAATGCTACTTATCACTGCTTTGCGTACCTCTGAGCTTGGATCTTTGGATAAATGGAAAAGGTACAATTTAATTACAGGACATTGATCATTTGATGGTTCTTGAAGTCTATGTAATGCATAAGTTGCTTGAGCTCGTACTTTTGGTGACTTATCCAATAAACAATGTGTCAAACTAAGTTGTATTTTCTCAAAAAATTCATCATCAATCAGTGCATCTTCTCCCATGGAATTTAAAAATAAATTGAAAAAATGACAAACTCTATATCTTACTGCAACATCGACAACATCATGAGATTTCAAAAGAAAATCTATCAATTGTGCCAGAAATTGACACATACTTCCGGGATCAGTAGTGTCAGTAGTTTCATTAGACGATATTAAACTCGTAGCAAAACTTGCAATAAAATGCATTGTATTCATCACTGCTGGATTATTATCAATAACTGTAAACGGTACTTTTATACAATTGATGAATGCGTTGGTAAATTCATCTTCATTAGCCTAAAAGTATAGGTTATAAATTAGAAACTATTGAAAGAAAAACTAAAGTGAAATAAAAATAAAAAATTATTCATAACTTACATCATCATAAAGTTTTTTCAGCTTTTTCAATAGCTTTCGATGTTTAGCTTTACTTTCTTGAGCAATCGTAAATATTTCAGTCATAGCCGGTATGACAGCACTTGAGGAAACGCAAGGCATTTTGGCAGTTTCTTGTTGTTATATTTATGTAATTAATTATTTCTTTTCTTATTTTCTAAAATAACCAAATTTTTAATGTCGATAGATTGTTTTGTACAGACATAAAAAATCACTGTAAATAAACTCCACAACTCATGATGTCAACAACAACAAAAAGTTCGTTATAGTCGAACTGAGAAAAGAGTTCCTCAGTTGCTTCAATGCTTTCGGGCTCCCCACCACTGATTTTCTACCCCTTCTACCATGTTTTTTACTACTGCGCAAGCGTACAAGAACACATGAAGAGCATCTGAGGAACTCTCTTCTCAGTCCGACTATAGTGTTTAAATGAATTGATAATTGTCGCCAACTACGAGAAAATCAAGTACGTACGAGGCTCATTGAAAATTACTTATTTTTGAAGAAAATATATAATTTATCGTGATTAATCGCTTAAAAGAATTTGTTTAGTACACATAACTATTATTAATTTATTGTTTATACTAAAAAAATTATTAATATGAGTTTAAAAGTTGATTTAAAAAACATATTTTGAATTTAGAATTGGCAGCAGGTAAAATTTCAACTTCAGAGTAGATGGAGCCAGAAGTGAATTATTAACAGTCAACTTCAATTCTTTGTATCCATAATAGAACACATTTGGAGCAAAATGAAAATATTCTTAGAAAGAATCGAGAATATTTTAATTAAATAAATGAATTAATAACATTTATTATCAAGTTTATAATTTAAAAAAAAAAATTGTATTTTTATTCTCATTATGAATGGCTCAGAGGGTCAAGTACATGCAGAGGTAGATAAAATTATTTTTGCAAGAAATAAGAAATATTTTTATCTAGATGAGCCAATAACTTTTGCTAATAAATAATTATAATTTTTGTAGTTACCTTGTGGTGCTCCTCCAATTATTCCAGACATTCGAGATGATTTACGGTCATATATTTTGTGTCCAGAAAAACTGCCTATACACCAGGTTGAAAATAATCAGCTTTATTGGCCTAGACAGTCAGATATTTTGGCATTACTTGAATGTGACTTATCTCCTCTTGGAACAACTCTAAAGTTTGATCGAGACCCCATAACAGGAAAATTAACTCATATGAGAGAAGATGTTTTGTATGGAGTTGGAGAAAATGCTAAAAATTCAATGTCTCTAACTAGAGCACCTGGGCCACCTATGGAAGGAGTCCAAGGTTAATTAATTAAAACGATGAATATCTAATTTATGATAGTAATAACAAATACTGAATTCTCTTTAGGTAATTCTAGTAACTTACCATTTTGGCCTGGTGGATTTAATGAACCAGAACCAATTAAAGCAGTTCCAACATCAGATATCGATTTTGAAAATAATTTAAGAACTCTAGCAAAAGGATTTAGAGCCGGAGTAGAATTTGCTGCAGATAATTTTTCTTTAAAAGATACTGCAAAAAATGATATTAAAAATCAGCAAAAAAAGCAACAAAAAAAACAAAAGAAAAACATAGAGAAGGTGGATTTAATGGCAATGGTCCATGATGAGGATAATAAATTAGGCTTATGGTCTACAACAACTGTTGAAACAAAAGAATCTATTAAGAAATTCGACGATACTGCTATTGATTCTGATCTAGAAGATATTGATGATTTAGTAATCGATGATACTACTCCAATATTGAAATTAACAGAAAAGCCTAAATCGATGGTTGCTGAATGGGCTGAACAATTGGATGTCTCTGTACCAGTTCGAGATTTTGATAAAAAAGTTCCTAAGCCGGCCATAACATTTGATTATGAATTAGATACTTTCCAAAAACAAGCGATTATCAAATTAGAAGAAGGTTGTAATGTTTTTGTAGCGGCACACACATCAGCTGGAAAAACGACAGTTGCAGAATATGCAATAGCCTTAAGTCAAAGACACATGACTCGAGTAATTTATACTTCTCCAATAAAAGCTTTGTCAAATCAAAAATATCGAGATTTTAAGAGAAATAAACACTTTGAAAGTATCGGTTTAGTAACCGGTGATATTCAAATTAACCAAACTGCCAATTGTTTAATAATGACTACTGAAATTCTTCAAACTATGCTTTATAACGCTTCCGAAGTGATACGTGATTTGGAGTATGTAATATTCGATGAAGTTCACTACATAAATAACGAAGATCGAGGACATGTATGGGAAGAAATAGTTATTCTTCTTCCTCAACACGTAAACATTGTTATGTTATCAGCTACTGTTCCCAATCCTCTTATTTTTGCTAACTGGGTTGGCAATATAAAGAAAAGAAAGATGTATGTAATTAGTACATTAAAGCGACCGATTCCATTGAAACATTATTTATATATTGGTACAGATGGTAAAACCAGAAATGATAGATATTTAGTTCTTGATGGTGATGGAAATTTTCATTTGGATAATTGGTATAAGACGAAAACCCTTCAAGATTCTCGAAGCAAAAATTCTAAAAATGATAATCGAAATAGAGCTCAATTTACTCTAAAACAGGCAAAAACAATGTGGGAAGCATTTATTGCTCATTTAAAAGAACAACAACTCTTACCCGTTGTAATTTTTACACTATCAAAGAATCGATGTGATCAGAATGCTGATTTTCTAACATCTGTTTGTCTTACTAACGAAACAGAAAAAAGCCACGTACGGACGTTCTTCAAAAAATGTATTAAAAGATTAAACGAATCTGATAGACATTTACCTCAAATCATTCGAATGAGAGGTCTTTTAGAACGAGGTATTGGAGTTCATCATAGTGGCATTTTACCAATTTTAAAAGAAATCATTGAATTACTTTTCCAGAATGGTGTTGTAAAATTACTATTTGCTACTGAGACATTTGCCATGGGAATAAACATGCCAGCGAGAACAGTAGTATTTGACTCTGTTCGAAAATATGATGGAAAACAATTTCGCGGACTTTTACCTACTGAGTATATTCAGATGGCTGGCCGTGCAGGTCGTCGAGGTCATGATAAATCAGGAACAGTGATACTTATGTGTAAAAATGAAGTTCCATCAATTGTATCATTAAAAGCAATGATGTGTGGAGAACCACATGCTCTGCAGTCACAATTTAAAATCACTTACTCTATGGTATTGAATTTAAGAAGAGTAAGTGAGTCTGTGACTATTGAAGATATGATGCGAAGATCATTCAAAGAATTGTCTCTGACTACAGAGAAAGATAAACGACAATCGGAATTGGCAAAAATTGAGGAAACTTTGGCTAAACTCCCACCTCCAACTGATTTTCAGAAAAAATTAGCTGATTACTATAGTCTAGCGATTGACTATTTACAAGAATGGAAAATTGCGAGTTCTCAATTACTATCAACGAAACAGGCAACGAAAGTATTGCTTCCTGGGAGAGTACTATTGATTTCCTATCGTCATCACTATAACAAATTAGCGGTTCTTTTATCAAAATATCTAAAAGATAAAGTCAATGAATACACTGTTTTGGTTTTAGCCAATGCTGATGAAGTAAATAAAAAAGATGATAAATTAGATATTTGGCACAGTATTATTGCTCTCACAAAGAAGACTATCTTTGTGCCAACGGGTATTCCCTTTTACGACTTTCTTTCAATAAGAGATGAACATATCAATGAAATCACTAGTATTGTACTACAAACAAACTGTGATGCAGTTTATAGAGATTATTTAAAACGAAAAATTCCCAGATTTCAAAATGATGCACCCAATCAAGCTTGTCAATCAACTATTCAAGAGCTTATAGCATTGTCAATGATGGCTTTGAGTAATCCTAAAGTAGTTCAACCATATATTGTGATATCAGTTTCTAATCCAGAATTGCTAACTAGATTAAAATATATTGATAAACTTCAAGTGCAGATGGCTTACATGAAACTTTCAGAAATACCAAATTTTGAATCGCATTTTAAACAAGTTTTTGAACGTAATGAACTCGAACGCCGTCGTCGAGATTTACAATTTCAACTCAGTGATGAGAGTATGATACTTTATCCAGAATATGTTAGTCGGGTTGAGGTTTTAAAACGACTAAAATATATAGATACAGATGAAAGAAGTAAGCATATATATTATTTATAAATATAAATTAACGACTAAAAATTATTTTTTTTCAGTAACTTTAAAAGGTCGAGTTGCATTAGACATGGGCACTCATGAGCTATTGATAACAGAACTTGTCTACAGAAATATTCTAACTAATTTACAACCTGCTGAAATAGCTGCAGTTTTATCTGCTCTAGTCTTTCAACACAAAACAGATGTAGTGGATATAAAACTGCCAGTTTTAAAAGAAGTAAAATTTCTATTTACACATTTTTATTTTCTTAAAATTTTACATTTTTATTTTATATTTAACGTTAAACAAAAATAATTGATTAATTAATAATTAACTTAAAAATTTTTAGATATGTAAAGTAATAACAGAAGTAAGGGATGAAATAGAAGCACTGGAATTACAATATAATTTGGAGCCCGTCGAGCCGTTGAATTTTGGTTTAGTGGAGGTTGTTTATGAATGGGCTCGAGCAGAAACTTTCGCTAAAATCATGGAACTTACAGATGTACAAGAAGGAATCATTGTTCGATGTATACAACAATTAAATGATACTCTAAAAGATGTCAAAAATGCAGCGAACAGAATTGGAGAAACAGTTTTAAAGGAAAAAATGGAAGAAGCTTCCACTGCTATTAAACGAGATATTGTCTTCACAGCATCTCTTTACACTCAAGATTAAACAAATTTGTAAATGAAGAAATAAATATTTTTTTTTTACATTGAATAATAAAATGTGTCTGTAGAAAATGTCCTAACACTACTTTTCTTTTAGAAAATGAAAAAATGAGAACATTATTCTAACTCATATTATATATTTATAAAAAATTGGTATAATACGCTAGTTTGATTTATTATATAACTAAAGAACTCGTTGATCGGTATTGTTAAGATTTCCTTGTCCCTTATTCAGTTCAGAAATACAAGCCCACTGACCCTCAGAATTTTCTCGCCATAACGAAACTTTGTTATCTCCTCCACTTACTGCCAAAATACCACCCGTTAATGACCAACTAACATTCCAAATCACGTCATCAAAAACGTTAAGAACATTAGGTGTCCAACTAGCGTAATCGGTTGATGTCCAGACAACAACTCTTCTGTCTTGAGAACAAGAAGCCAAAGCAGCACGTGGAGATCCAACAGCAGGAGCCCATGCAACGTCTCTTACCTAAAAACAAATTAACAACCCAATTCAGATAACTCGAATAATCCAATATTAACTCATGTTTTGTCATGATAATTGTTCCAGGTAAAAAAAAAACACTTACCCAATCACTATGAGCTTCCAATTTACTTTCTTCAATCCATCTGTCACCTTCTTCCCTCCAGATCTTTACTAAATTATCACAACCACCAGTTGCGAGTCTTTTCACAGGACCTGTTCTTTGATGAGATGCATCGAATGTTGGTTCAATAACAGGACACCAACTAACAGCATTGCAACCGATTGAATGAGCATTAGGTATTTTCTGAGTGTCCCAATTGTTTCCATTATCCGTTAGAATTGATATAGAACCATCTGAACTACCACAAGCTAAAATTAAACCAAATTCATGAGGTGCCCAAGCAACTGAATTCACTGATGAGTCGTGACTTTTATGCTCATGAATTTTTGTCCATTCTCCAAGTTCCTTCCAAATAATGACTTTCCTAAAAATGGGTAAAGAAAGTATTCATAATCAATAATAAGTTCGTAAATATTTGAGTAATCTCAATTTATAAATAATAATTTAATCGTATAAGATGAAAAAAACCTGGAACTGACCGGTCATAACTACAAGATGCTATGATATTTCCAAATCTAGGATGTGCCCAAGCAACTTGCCATACAGGTCCTTCATGACCTTTCAAATCTGCTACCAAACTTTGTGATCCATTTTTTAAATCAAAAACTTTTACTGAATTGTCACTGGAACATGTTGCTAATCTTAAACCATAATAATCCATCTCTGCATCATGAATCATGTCTTCATGACCAGTATCAACAGTATTTAGCACCGACACCATGATGATTATTTGCTTTTGTAATAATTAATTAATTATGATTAAAATTAAGCTTTTAAATGCACAGATAAAATATCTTTTACACGATTTTAAGGCTATGTTGGTCTGTCATACGTGGAACATAACCAACCAAGAGAATAGAAACCAACCTAGAAATCCAACTCGGAACTCATAAAAATAAACTAGAAGCGACATCACGATTTTAGCCGAAAGAAGCTCCTCTCTGCAGGAACGATAACAACCGTCGGTAAAACACGAACCTGTAGATGGCATCACAATGATGTGTTTCAATTCACAAATTCTCCATTATCGTTTAGTGAAAAATTAATTGTTGCCATTTTATTTGTTAACAAAAACATCATCATTCCTTTCAGCACAGAAAAACGTGATGATAAGTTTAAAATATTTCATTATTGATTAAAATCGATACTGTATAATATTCAAACTTAATAACAAAAAAATTGTGAGGTTAGTTCACCATATTGATAATATAAGAAAGGGAGGGAAACATTTCATAAAACTTAGTTGTTTTGTATGCCAAATCTGATAAAGAATTGTTCTGATCCTAATGCACCCCAATCAGTAATTATTTCACATGTGTAGGAATAATAAAATGATGTGGTCGATGAAAAAGGGTGAGAGTATTGATTGAAATAAGTACATAATTGCGTTTACGCATATTTTTATTTTTTTTCTTGTTATCATACGAAAAACATACATAAGGATTATAAACGAAAATACAAAGTACATACACTATGAAACACACTTGCACACATATAGATTAAATATTAATGTCGATGATTACATTAATAGTTGATGAATTATTGAGTACATAAATAATTGAGGCCGTTACGCTAAATAAACACAAAATAGTATAAATAATATTCACTCAAATCCAAAACATTCCTATAATTATTTGAATGTATTATAAATCTACTGTAAGTACATATTTTTTCGACACACAAATAAATTATTTCTTATATTAATTTTTAATATCTAATATTTGCCACAGATGGAGATCAATTACTTACTTCGTGATGTTTATTTCACTTTTCAGGTATGTATCTGTGGCTGTTTGACTAGAATCCACTCTCAATATATTTTGATAATATATTTTCATAAATAATATAAATCATAAAATCATAAATAATTATATTAAATAAACTCTAATTTAGATTAAATCATTGATTGTTACATAAGTAGTGACTTAATTTTCGAATATACACTGAAACACAGCCCATTAATACTCTTTCTGGTTTGAGTAAAAATTTTCAAAGTTACTTAGATTTGACTGACTAATTGACAAGAAGGATATTGTAATATTAAAATTAACTTAATCACTAAGACTTTAAGTTAAATCTTATTCACTGATCTCTATTCAAATGCTAAAACACAAATGCTTTAAGAAATCAAATCCTACCTTGAACCAAAAAAATACTTTAAAGTCATTAATGAACAAAATCTTGAATGCTTTCAACTTCAGTAAAGTATTACTTAGTTCAATTGATTATTTCTAATACTGGCACGTATCCCATTAGAGATTTGGTGTCGTGACTAGATGAATATAATTATGATGACTAATATGTAATTATTACATTAAATGACTAGATAATGAATTTATGAGAAACATACAGATAAAAGTGACTAGATTTTAAACTAGATTTGTTAATAATCCTGAGACACCTTATCTATATGGCATCGCATCCACGGGCAGTGATTTTAGCTTTTGCTTCATTTCAATTTACCAACTAGCATGCTTAAATAAATATAGATAATGAGATTGTGAAAGTACTTAGAGAAAGACGTATTGAATAATAATTGCATATAAAATCGGCCTGCCTATTGAGTATGTTTGTATTTCTTTTGCAATCAATTACCAATGAGTTTTTAGAATATGACTAGATCTGACATAGACAATATTGTTTTTTTTCATTGGAATGTTTTGTATGGATTCAATAGAGTTTTTCTTTTAATTTAATAATATAAATGGTTTTGATTAAATTTTAAATATCTAAATTAAAATTTTTAAAACTAATGTTATACTTAATTAGTACTTGACTAGATTTTTTGAGATTTGGCTGTGGTACGAAAATATATTCATTGACTCAATGTCGCTTTTCTTTCTGATTTGGTCTATACTGTATGGCTTTTTCAATGATGTAGAATCATTGGCTCTTAATTTTAAAACACTCAAATTATTTCTAAATAGTTCTAACGACTAGAATTGTACTCTTTTTGGGACCATCTCACTATTTTTGACTAGATTTTATATTTTTTTTTTTTTGTTTATAAGTAATTTTGGTATTTGTTTTTTGTTTTCAACTTATATTATAAATGACTAGATTTTTGAATGAGAATCTATTGCTCTGATTAAAATTCATTGACTATTTTGATTGAATTAAAATCGAACATAAAATTCTTCGTTTTTTATTATTGTTTTTTGGATAGGTAGCTTTAGCAGAGATATTTTTTAAAAATTAATAAGTTTTTTCAATGACTAGATGACTGTATGACTAGATAATTAAATAAAATTATTTTGACTAGATTTTTCTATCAAAATTTTTTTTTTTTTTTGGTTTTAAGAGTTTTATTTTTGAATTTTTTTTCTTAATTTTGTATACATAAAATACTGTTGAAATTTTTGAATGACTAGATTTTATAATACAATTACTGAAGACTAGATTTTAATTTTATCTACAATGTTTCTGTTGGACTAATACTATTTTTTATTGTTTCGTAATTTTATACGAATTCCATCTTTGGTAGATCTCCAGAGAAATGACTAGATTAATGATTAAATTATTTGGACTAGAATATATTATTTTTTCATGACTAGATATAATTTTTTTTTTTTTGACTAGATTTGTTTAATCTCACTATTATTGACATGACTAGAAAGAAAATTTTTGATTATTTCCCATTTTTAATTTCATACATTTATGACTATTTTTCTATCTTTGGTATATTCATATACAATAATATTATCTTTGTTTCAATGTATCACAGTTATATCATCAAGACTAGAATTTTTTATGGCTTATTTACAAATTCTGGAGATTGTCAGATGCAAAAATTGAAATCAAAAAGTTCTTACTTAAATAATTGAAGCCGAGAGTCATTTCGACAGTAGAAAAGTTACATGACAGCAGAAGAATGACTTTAGTAAGAATAAATTTTGATTGCATACCTATTGTAAAAAAATGTTTGACTTAATTTTCTGTAGTATATCCATCGGTGAAATGATCTTGATTTGTTTTTACATGTGATGTGAAATAATATCAGGCAGATCTGCGTTTGGTTTTTTACAAAATTACTTCAGTTACATACTCCAACATGGACTAGATTCATGACTAAAGTTGTTTTTCGCTTGAGTTGTTGTCTGATGTAAATTTACAGGCATCTACTATTGAAAGTGGAAACATTTTTGTTTCCATAATGATTCAATTTTGCATATTGCGTGATCCAGACTTTGTAGTATAGTAATTTGATGTTTTTTCTTGTTTTTGTTAATTCTATACTATCGGACTGATTTATTATCATTTCACTCCAGTCGTCAAAACCCATGATTTGTACACTGTGTGCTCATTGATTTTTTTGGTTAAAAAAATTAAACTTCTTTAAATTTAGTAAAGCTATGCGTTGCTCATCTCCATGTTCTGAAAATAACACACAACGTTGTCAAATACTTCAGTAAAAAATCAAATTACAGCAACATAAAAACTACCAACACTATTCAAAATAAAATAATAATAACAAATAATTTATCAACAAAAAACTAATTTTGATGTTATGTTTTTTTTTAATTTATCACTTTTAAAAGAATTCAACACAAATTAATCACTGATTCACATTATTCACCGTATAATAATAATCTATTAATCAATATCGAAACAATTAATTATTTAAATAAAAGAAATAAATGTTACTCACCAGAAGATGATTATAAAAAAAAATTCCCAGGTGTCAAGAAAGAATTCCTCTTCAATGATGACAATAAAATGATAGATTTTGATGTTTACAGATGAATTTAAGGAGTGATGATGTTCGTCAACGAAGGGATGAGGCTCGCGTGGCTCGGAGGATGCAAAGTTCTTGTAACCCTCCGGAGCCACGCAAGCGCATTCTTATTCACTTCGTTGCCGAACGCAGACTAATTTTGACAGACGCGTTGCGCCGTACGATATGAAGATCCCTACTACTTGGCACGTGCCTTCACGCGTGCTCCCACTCTGGAATTATTTCTCCCTTCCCTTTGATCACAAAACCGCCCTTACACTGCGCGCGTCGATAGTTGTAGCTTTGAAATTTCTCATTGGTTGAATTCCCGATGAATATTCACCCCTGTTGCGATACTAAAAATTTCACATACTTGCAGATGCACCCTCTGTACCAGGCGTGACGACACGTTCCATGATAATAAAATATTATTTATTAATTTGTACAAATTCACTACAGAAATTCTCATTTAAATTTTCATATCAGCTTTTAGTGATGTTTAATTTAAAAACTAAAAGCACTATTAATTATTGTAATTCCCATTTATTAACAAATAATACAGATTATTGGCAAGTGCACATTTAATTTCAGATTTTAATTGTTTATTGTCACCTGGCCTTGAGACTAGTTCAAGGAAAATGATTATGCAATTAATTGTATTGTCATTGAAAGAGATGCGGGCAGACAAGAATTTATGATATTCCAAACAGACATGCAAAATATACTCAAGGTTGCGAATCAATGCCAAACCCGTATTTAATACTTTTGATAGTATTTTTGCATCCTTGGACACATCCATATCTCATATTTTAACATAAAAAATTTTTTACATCTCTGATGATGAAACAAAAAGTATCTCACATAATAAATATGTTGGTATCCCGTGTTTATATGAGAATTAATGCACTTGGTAACGATCCACAGGCAGCTGAAGAATCTTTTTAGTTGGAGTGTGTGATGACTCTGACTGATGAGAGCATTCGGTTGCCGCGCCTGTAATTATCATTTTCCATCTTCCTGCACTAATCTCCCGACTAAGATCACTCTCCTATATGCCACCTGGGATGAACCTCATAATATTTTAAGAAGTGCCACGTGCCATGTGGATCAGGTATACTTACTTATATGCAATATATCACGACAGACAAGCTGCCCTTCTTTTTGAAATTAGTTTACATGACGATACTTTCCCTATTCATCAATTTTTGGGTTTCGATATTAACTTCCAAACTGGTCAGTCAGTTGAAATAATTTATATGTCTTTTAGTAATAATCTCAATCATTTATAATCTAGACTTTATTAATAACATTTGTTTTATTTTTAAGTCAACTAAATCAGCTTAATTATTATTCCTGTTGGAATGAATTAAAAATGAGGATTTTATTCAAATTGATTGAACTAAATATTGACAATAGCCAAGTTATCTATGGGGTATTGAATAAGTCTCTTTACTAGGGCAGCTGCAAAGTATGTGCTCATGATACCAGAACATGAATTTAAGAAGCAAACCAACATACATATTGTAAGTGTATTCAATATGATAGAGTAATCATTTTTAGGATTAATTAATTAAGATACAGTCATGGTTCCTAACAACTAGGGACTCAGTTGCTCTTGCCAACATTATACAAACATAAAAGGGTTATACATTTTGTTCTACACCATGTACAAGAAAACGTTTTGCATGAATTCCCAGTCACGCTAATCAAATAAAATTTTATTGTATACATTCAATAACAAAACCCACTTTCATAATTGAATCGTAAGCTGTTAACTAAAAGTTTTGGAATTAATCTATCATTCACAGTTTAATTTTCTGAATATTGGTTTTAGAATAATATTTAATAAAATAAAATAATTAAACTTATGCTGTTATTTACATCTGATATTCAATAAGTATAATAAAATAATAGTTATAAGTAATAATAGAGGACTTGTAATTTAATTATTTAGACTTTTCTATTTATAAAACATGTTTTTAAAAATAATCAATATTGCAAATATCATGTAAAGAATATGAGCTAAAGTCCAGAACAAGAATTTTTTTCTCTATAAAATAAACTCTTCCCTTCGTATGTAAACTGACGTATTATGTTTCTTTAAAAATATTTGATACTGTAAATAAAAAATTGATTGAAATAATTCATGAGTCAGTTCATAGGAAGAACAGAGAATGCATCTGCCCTTCCTTATTGTAGCTATAGACATCAGAGTAGACGTATGCCAACATGATGAAAAAATACTAACACTCCAGTCTTACTCTAAAGGCCCTGCTGTTCGATTTATTCGTGGGTGGTTTTTTTTTAGATCATCAATAGATCTATAAACCTAATATAAAAGAAAAAAAAAACACAGCACGTGCGCATAATAAAAAATAAGATTCTTAATTATTGTAGAACTCTAGTCATCTAGACCTTTTGATGTCAGAATAGTTTACACAACCACTAGGTGTCTTTTGTATAATAAATTATAAAATTTATTTTGCCTGTGTATTCATGGATCCAAATCACCAAAAATGCATCATGACTCAGGACATCTTTTGTGTAATTGATCTACAAAGAAGACATCATCCACCGTTAATTAAATACATGATTCAGTTCTTAATTCATTAGAGACTTTTTGTAGCAAGTTCAAATACTTACTTAAGTCGCAGTAGGAAGCTTTCACACTTATTTATGCACCAGGCTGACGTTGATGACCATGAGAAAGGGTGTAGGAACATGACCGAGACGATGAGGGTTGTTACCAGGCACCTTGATGTTATCTGAAATTTCAAGCAATCAAGCTCAGTTCATTGTCATCTATATCAGTATTAGGTATGTGCTCGCGACCCTTGGAGCAGTTTCCGTTGATCGAAAGTGCATGAGGGAGATTTTGCACGCCAGATGCAGCCGGAAAGATTTGCCGGAATCCAGGACAATGAACAGGTTAAAGAGGTACTCGAGGTAGTGAAAAATGTTTTTTCAGTGATGAATTGAGGTTCAAGAGCATGAACAATAGGTCATTATTTTTTAATGGAGCAAGGGTTTATCTATGGTTCATGAATTTTACAGACCATTTTTGTGGATTATCTAGTTTAATAGAGAGTTATGTTATTCTAGACAATTGAATGATATAGTAATTTAATGAAATATTTATTTGTTATTAAAATTTAAAAAAATATATCACTTATGTTAAGAAAGATATCAACATTGAAGTAGTGATTCAGCAATTCAGTTTGATATTTTTTATGTAAATGAATGGGTCATTTCAAAAACCACATAAGTCACACAATCAAAACCTAGCAGGAATTAATGGAAATTTTGTTATTCACAGGTAAGGAAGCATTTGTGACAAAAAAGGATATTTGAAAGAAATTTAACTTGTGTGGTCTTTGAAATGACCGATTCGAATGAATAGGACATCTAGAACATTATTGAAATATTTTTGTCTTACTTTTAGAATATTTTATAAATGTTGTTGAAATCTTTTTACATTAAAAAATTATATTCTTGGATCAAGAATGATTTTAATCTAGATCATATTTTTTATTATTCATCATTGATAGCAGAATGATAACAGAAACTCTATGATCCTGCCATCATTTTGTATCTATTCTTGTTTTATTTAGGAATATTATGATCAAGAATGACATTATTCTTGGTCCAAGAATATAATTTTGTTGATATATACAAAAATATGTGAAATTGAGTCTAAGAACAGGCCATTCATCAACCAGTATGACTTTTAACGGTTCAACTGATTTCACCAAATGATATGACACAAAAGGATATGATTTCATACCCTCACACTTGAAGAAAACAAAATAAATGAAATGTTATTTATCAATGTATAGTTAAGTAACCGCATTCGTGGGAAATTTTAGCATATAAAAGCGTTGGCAAATTGATAAAAAAATTCCTCTTTTTAACCTTTATATTACTGAGTATCTACTTATCAAATACCATATGTTAGAAATCGGAATATAATGTCTATTATTTACAGACTTTTCGTTATTTTTCTTTGCAGGGGATCGAGCTATTGTTTGAACTTCCTCAACAACCTGCAAAATGCGGTTGAAAATATGTATATTTCACAGATTCATGCATGCATGAAAATTCTGTTTTACTTTCGTGATTATTAAGAAATAATTTCAGACTCCATTCTGTCGTAAAAAAATTACAGTTTAGCAGAAAGTTCAATGCGGTGTATTATACGAGGAACAGACTAATAAAAGACGAAAATTAAACATCATAAAATGCAATAATATGACGATATCAATGCACGAGTTGTGATAAAAATTTACAGCTCATGCCTTACTTCTGGATAATTAAGTTCTCAACAATCAACTTCTATTTCACGTTCATAAAGCCTAAATTATTGAGGTCAAACATGTTCATCAAGATATCTAAATTTCATTACTGCTCAATTTTTACAACTTTTTTTAAGATTCTTTTTTTATTAATCTAGAATCAATTTTCTTTTCCACTAAAAATCATTCAACAAAGTTTATGAATAAATTTTTAAAATATTCTTGGATCATTCGATTAAGATTTGTCATCAGCAAGCTTCGTTATTAAACATCAAAGCTATTAGCAATTTTATTCATCAATAGAATACCAAGATTAGTTTTAATTTAGTCTTGTCTTATAGACCATTAGGATAAATTTAAAAAAATTATTTAATGTTAGAGGTATAGTGATGATAAAAATTTTTTTCTTAGAGTCACTTTGATTAGTTGAGCCAAGAAATGTGCATGTAAAGGATTGCATTAGTGACCTGAGAAAACAATACGTCACAACCCTAATGTTTTATCGACCCTCCAAATGCGTCACCCACTCCCTATAACACTCTCATATGTGACATTTGAATGACGCGTATATAGGGACGTCATGACATACCGTAAGGTCGACGTGTCAGTGCAATTGTCCAGATTGGTGATTCACAATTACTTATTGTCATCTTTTGTGTATCCTAAAATCACTTTAATCTCATTTATTTTTCTTCTACTTCCAAAAATAGAAGAAAATATTTCTTTGAATTTCTTACTGAGCTATAAGTACTTCAAGGGAAAGAAAGGGTGGATTATAAAGTGAAAATTGACTTTAAAGTCTTCAATAACTGATGGAGAAAAAATTTTTTTTTTGCATAATTTACCCTAGTCTATGAGCATAATGATGCAGACTTATAATTTATTATTCTTCAATGCTCTTTTAAAGTATTATTTATGAGCGCAGATTGAAACTTAAGTTATAAATTAATAATAAAATAAATGACTAAGTTTTATTTTTGTAATTGAAAAAAAAAATTAAATAAAAAATAAAATCCTTTGAATGTTAATTAAATATTAACATTAAGTAATTATTAATTTATTCACTTTGAGCTTTTAAATGAGAATTAATTTATTAATTAACTTTAAGTAATTATTTTCTAAATTAACATTCAAGTTGATTGAGACATCTATAAACAATAATTTAATCACAAATAAGTTTTCGACTTACATCATTATGTGATATAACTATTGAGTAGTGAAGAATTGAAAAGACATCATACATTTTTAAAATTAAATTTTTTTCCTGATAGTTCTATGGGTTCTGTAAGATAAGACGTAACTTCCTGAGGATCATGATCATGGCACGTGCAGAGGATTAGGCTACGGCTCATTTGCAAACATGATCATCTGCAAGACGTAACAACACCTTTACACAATTACTAAGAAACTAGAGTCTAGTATATTTGTAGTTAATATAAACATAGTTTAGTGGTGGCTTAGAATAGATGTAATAATAGTGTCATTAAATATACACAATAAACTCCAAGAATCGTGTAAAAATGATTACAGAAACTTTTAGGGATGAATATTATTGCATGATATCAACATTAAAACGTCGGGCGTATAAACGATATGTGAGAAATGAAAGGATGCAGGAAAAAAATAGACAGACATGTGTGTAAGAAAATTAGAGCCTGGCGTGGTAAGAAATAAAGGGTTGTGTTATCATATATTCTCTTTTTCGATTTCACATTACATCAAGACAAACCTCTACAATCATGTCTATTTTAATGTCTGAAAAGAGACAAGAAAATTTATATGAGAAACTTTTCACCCTTTGACAGACCTCATGGAAGTGGGGTCGTCGACATGAACTACGTGCGAAATAAACGAGGTAAAATGTTAGTGGGGATTTCAATGTTATTCAACTACTCAACTACTAGCCACCCATCTGTCGCCATTTATACCTTTTTCCTTCATTTCTTATGATTTTTATGACATTCAACTTCTAGACTGTTTTCCATTAATATTTTATCAGAGATTCCAGGGATTTTGGTATGGACAGAAGGTCAGAATGTTTTTCCTAGATAAGCCTACTCTCTAAATAGTCTATCAAATCTTTTTTCATCTTCATCATATAATTAATTCTCTTATTTTTCAAAAAAAAAAATTAAATCCTTGTTTGTTGACTTCCATAAGTCTAGACTATAGAAAACAATTTGTTAAGTAATTTAAATAATTTACAAATTAATTAAAATGTTACAAAATAATTGATAATAAAATAGATAAATTGTTATGCATTTGTAAATGTTTGAAATAAGATTGCATTTTAGTTGGAGAAAAAAAAGGTGTCTGTAATGATTGGATCCATTCAGGTCTCACGATTCTCATGAACAGACTCAATTGAGCAGATCACATCCCTCCAATAGTATTGTTTCAAAGTGCAGTGGGTATTGATAACCGGTATCGAAGACAGGACGAGAGCACTGAGATAATTTAAGGGTGTGACAGTGGCAAGTAGTATGAGCAGGACATGCAGGAAGGAAGTGTCGTGGTCGGCTCTTCCGGGCAGCTGTTCCTGCTTTACTATGTAGACTATCCTATATGGTAAAGCAATCCAGTATGGGACACCGTACAAGTGCCATTACTACCGGCGACACTGCTGGCTTCATTTAATACCCCTCGGTTTCATAATTGCTGTTTAGGTCGATATTTTCTTTTTTTTTATTCATTTAATTGCATTCTTTTTGAGCAGGTACTTCATTAATTACTCCAAAAATAATCATTGTTGAAATCAAAAATTATCCGAAGATATTTTTTTATTCAGCCAGACAACTTGGAGAGAGAAAATGATCCTTAATGAAATATATTCATAAAGTCCAGTGAAAGTTGATAAAATATTCACAAAGTCCAGTGAAATTAAAAGTTTGGATATTTTTTGAATAAAAAGTTTTGCCAATAATGAAATATCCTAGTAATTAATTAAATTATAAATTTTTCCATAGGAAATGTTATCAAGTATTTCATGTTAATTTGATGAAAAGTAAAGTAAGAATTCATTGTAAGGTAGGAATTTAAATTATAATCAAGGTGGTATGTCCATTAGTACAGTAATTACTTCATAATGATAGGAACCTTCAATGCTTTCCCTTCGTTCCTTCACCCCTTCAAACTGTCTCGTGATTTGCTCTTCAATTGAAACCGGTCATTCGTAATATACTTTGTAACATACTTCAATTTTTATTATGAGTTGAATATTTTATCAATTTATCCATCACCAAGGAAACCTGGTGGTGGTCAATGAGTTGTTCAAATTAAAAATATATATCTAGGAAATATCTGACCAATTGATAATTGTAAAAAAGGTTTCCACATCACTGCTATCCTGTCTGCTATAAGAATCTTTCTTGAAATATTTTCCCAGCCATGAAGAAATTAAATAGAATATTTTAAAACTCATTAATAAGTCTCGATAAAAAAGTAGAAAGTTTAATAATGAATGGATAATAGCA